GGGGGGGGGGGGGGGGCGAATTAGGTTGCCAACATATGATCACCTTTTGTAGCTTAAATTTCACGCTTACTTTACGTCCATCAATGTTTTCACGGTTGTAAAATAATTGTTACTGAAAGGTCTGTTACACAGTTATTCAGCTATATCATTCAAAGGCTTTCAGAAATCACTGGGGGTGGAGAGCAGTTATACTCCCTCCCCCCGTGTCCACCACTGGTCACATACCACTGGACCCTCCTCCGCGCGCATCTCTTTAGGGTTAATTAAGGTTTTCCAATCACCCTAGGCAACTCCCTAACCTTAGACCTTTTTAACAGAAGGAGATGTATTCAGAATGTATTCAGAATTCAGTACACAGCATATTTTGATGGAAAGATTGCTGGATTCCGGACTTCACTCTTTTTATATTAACCCAGTCTTTAATAAGTTGAAATTTAAAGCAGACACAGAAAAAGATACTAAAAACCGTGTGCTTAACACAGAGAAATGTGTGCCCTACCTCAGGTGTATGTTTAGCGATCTCTCGAATAAGTGTAGCCACATTCTTTCTTACATACTCATCTTGATCTACGAAATAGAGAATGAAAATAAAACATCAGGGATACAACGCTTATATTCTTCATCAAGTAATACATCATACACGTATTACACGAGATTAGGTACAATGTAAGTATTATTTTTCAGTTCAGAGTCCAGGGTCCGGCGTTTGTACGAAGGCCGGATAGCGCTATCCACTGGATAGTGATTTTTTCAACTACTAGTTGTAAAAACGCTTGAAAAGCCATAAGACTAAGTGTGTGGATCTCCCAATTAATAAAAGAAACTTTAATTTATAAATGCAAACGTTTAATCTGAGCTTGACAAAATCACTATCCGGTGAATAAGCGCTATGCATCTTTCGTACAACCAACCACTGATTCACACCCCACATATAGATACTGTATATTCGTTCTCGCTAGTGGAGATACTTCCGAGATATACACAATACCTTTGAGACATGTCAGCACAGCAGGAAATATCTCTGCTTCAACAACCATTTCTGCTAAATCCACAGAATGTTTGGCAATCTGACTGAGCGCTGAAAATACTTGACGCTGAAAAATAATTAAACTAGGATTTACTATTGCAGGGACGTTCCCCAGGCGGCTATACCGGGGGATGAGTGTGTCCCTTGCCCAAACTCAACTTTCTTTGGTGTAGATCCAAGGAGAAAATATGGTGTGTATATGCTACAATTTTAAACAACTTGAAGGGCAAAGAATAGAAACACGAAACATGGATGAGTTTTGCGATTAAAAATTCAATGAAATATATGAAAATATATATTGAAAAAGAAATTGGTTCTTACCTTCAATTTGGAATCAGGATTAAGTATCATCTGAGCAAGATGAGCAATAGCTCCTGCATCAACCACTGTTTGGGCGAGCTGGGAAACGTTGAAATTACAATAGTATTGCGTATTAATTACTGTACAAATTACGATATACAAATGTATTGTTATTATAGCCGCGTTATTGGTTGGTAATAGATTGATAATTATTTACCTCTGGGGAGTGTTTACAAATGTCACTAAGACCAGATGCAGCAATTCTCTTCAAAGACAGTTCTGGTTCTTGAATACATAACACCAACAATGGCACAGCACCAGCATCGACGACTGCCTGGGATAGTTCTAAAACAACAAAGATTACACATACATTATGTGATGTGGTCGGTACTTTCAGAAGGAGCAAAGGGAAATGCACCGTACAAAATTCTCCTTCTAGGGGCAGATTCCAATCCGTGAAGTCCTGGACAAAACTGTTTGAGACCACTTTTTCTTTCTTACAAAATTCGGACATGTCACAAGCCACCTGTTACGACAAGGTTTTTTTTTAGGTTTAATTTTAACAGCTTTATTAGGAACAATAACAGCTAACGAACGGGTTGTAAGAACCCATGCAAGGCTACCCCCCATGCATGCACATTTACAAAATAATTTACATATTAGAATTAATAAAATTTATAGCTTACAACTCTTGAAAGTGCTTTTACATAGTCCATATAGGTGCACTTTTTAAAGGTGCACTTTTTAAAACCCCTGCTCCCTCAACTCAATGTTGAGTTTGTTTACAATCGTTTGTTCAGGATTGCAGTAGCGGAATTTCGTGGCACTTACAGCGCCATACAACAAAAAGTCGCACATGTGCAGAACAGACATACCTCCGCTTAAAGTTTCACAATTGTATCAAGTCACAGCGCAACTGGCAAGCAAACAAATGCATCTACTTTCTAATATTATTACCTGCATTATGTCTAGCAATATATCCAAGTGCCCAGGCTGCAGCCTCCTTTACTCCAGGATCAAATTCCTCCAAGCAGATAACGAGGGCATCCAGTGCACCACAATCTACTACGGCCTAATCAAGAAAAATTGACAACCATGAACTTCCTTTTAGCCATTGTTCACACAGAGATGGAAAACAGTGGGTAGAATACAGTTAGTAGAATTCTGAAAATAGAGGCCGCAACTTTCGGGATATTAACTCACGTTAAAAATCCGAATATAGCATCATTCAAACGAGTCCAACATAGTTTGGATGAAAATTTTAAACAAAGTAAAACTTAATCCAACATCAGCATAGTGTTCAAACGAGACCAACAATGTTGCATCCGACAATGTTGGATGATATGTTGGGTCAACATGGCCTCGTTTGAACGGGCCTTTAGTACATTTTGGTAATGTGTGCCATTTCATTTGTATGAGTATTATATTTTAACTTTATTTTTTGGCTCGGACCTTTCGGGTGGACGGCAAATTTCGGACATTTTAGCTCTCAGGGCCAGAAATTGTACCGTATTTTCCAACTGCATGGTTAAAAACTCATCGTCAAATGATCGTTCTTGAAGACTAAACTAATTATACTGTAGAATATAAGGCTATGTTACACGAGGCAATTTTTGGCAACTCGCAACCGCAACTTCTGTATCGCTCAACTTTAACTCCGCCGTTTTGAGAGACATGAAAGAGAAATATCAACAATGAGAAAAGCAGTCCATGAACATGCTGATTTTTTTCTGTTAACACTACTTTTCACTCTCTCCTCTACAGAGGCGTTTTATTCAGTAAAACTGTGGTAATTGATACACCAGGAGAAAATCTTAGTTTAAAGATAAAGAGCACAGCCCAGCAAATAACTTTAAAAAACCCCTATTTTTAAAGTTATTTGCTGGGCTCTGCTCTTTATCTTTAAACTAAGATTGTTGTTTTAGTTTAACACGCGGGCTATAAAACCCGCAAAATGTAAGGCATGCGAGTAATCGCCTTCACCCTATCGAGAATCTTACATTTTGATTTCCGGGTATACAGCACGCGTGTAAAGCTAAAATCGTGAATACAAACTAATAAAATCGTAAATAAACTAAAACCGCAAACGCATCTGAGGACAGAAAATTCAGACAGAATGTCCGAAATTGTGTTAGAAGTCGCAGTACGGCATAGATGATAAACCGCTGATAAACACTTGATTAACGATTTAACGCGATGCCAGGGTACCATTCCCAAATCCTTCCCAAGCCAAACAAATTTCATGTAACATCATTTGGATTGCGAATTGTCGCTAGAAATCGTCCCCTGGGTCTTAGCATTAAGTATTTATCCGCGTTTAACATGCAACAAGGGTTTCTGTTTTTTTCGTAATATCATTCCATTAAGCTGGGCCTGTAAAAAATACAAGCCCATACAAAAAATTCACTCATAAAATACACTAATTTGAGATATGAGTGTAATGAGTAAAATAAAGTAGGGCACTCTGGCATTAGACGAAGATAATTAATATTCAAGTCACTATATGTATACATAAATTGTTTACAATTATTGTGGGACATTTTAATATCACTTACACGCATGCGTATTATGAATTGTTAGAAAATGTAAGTTCGATCACAGAGTAAATACCACACAGAGGTCTCACTTATTAATTTCAGTGTAAGGAATTTTGCACTAAAGAGAGGCTGTCACTCCCCTAAAAATATTTTGAAATTTGATGTTACAGGGGGCTGAATGCCTCTCTTTAGGACATTTGCCAAGAACATGGCCTCCCGGCCTCCAGATAAGCGCAGTAAAAACTATACCTTACGTTTTTTCTCGCGAAGTGAGACCTCTGTATGGTTAGTAGTCTATGGTTCGGTATTGCGGCATTTTGCTTTTGAACACGGAAAATATTATACGCCCACTACGGTCCAACAATGTTGGATGAAAATTTTGAACAAAGTTAAATACATATCAATGGTTAAACCCATTGAAATGAATATAACTGGAACGCTACCTTTAGATAAACTGCCTATATTTTTCTTGAAGCCGAATCTGGGGGTCAAGACCGGCGTGTTTTATCATGATTGACTGATGGAGCGCTCTTCGCATGCGTGAAAAGACTGGGACTGTCCTTCAAGTTTGGTTTCAAATTTCCGGTTGGATGTAGCGTTCCAGTTATATGCATTTCAATGGTTAAACCCACTGATATACACTAAACCTGATCAACCGATCCGAACATGATTGTAATTGCCTGATAAGTGATATCGTAGTTCAGAGGGCTCGGTCACCGGTAGCCTGGATATAGATTCATGTCTCGCTGTTTATGAGTTAGGGTTAGCGGTTAGGATTAGCATTCATAATTAAAATAGCGAGACATGAATCTATAACCGGTAGCCTGCATAGCCTAGGCGTTGAAGACCCCGCCTCTTGCGAAGAACAGCTCTTGGGCTTAGGAGTTATGCCACTGATTACCTCGAGCGTCCTCGAAAACTTTATCAGTTTATGCGGTTAGTTTCGCAATGAGTCGATGTGCGTTGCCGCTCAAGGTGATAAAGTCAAAGTTGTGCACGTAACTCCCTCGAAGCCGGAATCTTGCTTGAACACGAAACACTCTCTTCACTTTAGTTGCATTAAAGTTTAGTTCAGCATTGCCATTGTTGTTGAGAACGGTAATGACTTAACTTTAAGGCTAATTTCCACTCAGGAAAATTATCCGTGGATTGGAACGGACAACACAATTTTTCTTTGTGTTAAACTTAAAATCATTACTCATTAGTTCCAACCCAGAGCTCACAACTGAGACAAAGAAAAATTTTCTTGTCCGTTCCAATCCACGGAAACTAGCCTTAATGCGTGGAAACTAGCCTTAATGCAATGCATCTGGACTGTACATATAATCTATCTTAATTATATAGCCCAATAGAAATCAGACACAAGCATCAATTCATTCATAAAAGATTAAAAAGTTCAATGAATAATTATTGGTTAAATGAATAGTTATACCTGTGCTAACTCAGGTGAATGTTTTGCAACTGCACGGAGAACAAATGCTGCGGCTTTCTTATAAAATCTCTAGAAAGAAAAAGTTTGCTGTTTAGTAATTATTATATTCATTGAATCGAATAAGTTGAGCCCATACAATGACAGTGATACTGGCTGAGGGTTATATTCCCATGCAGTCGTGCACGAATATGGCTCAACTCTTTGATCTTGAGCCCAATCAAAAACCTATCCTTAATCCTAATTGCACGAAACGTAAGGAAATAACCGCATGAAGACGAGGCCATGAGTGCAATAAACAGTACAACAGATAGCCCTTGCGTGGCCTTGGTAAATAGATTCCCCTGTTGACCAGGAAATTGTTGTTATGGAAATTCCCTCACAGTGACAATCTGCATAACAAATGAAGAACAAAAATTTAAAGTTTCGTCCCAGCGCGGCCGCTATGCATAATCGTCTCGTAAAAACAATTGAAATACCTCTTACGAACTGCAGTTACGTTTTGTGTAAATAATGCCTCGTGCGTACAGTCAAGACTGATTTGCGATGGAGAGCCGTTTTGAAATAGTGGGAATCGGTGTCTAGGACTAGGAGGTCAGCTTTAATTTGCAAATATCAGAAAAAAACTCTTTCCCAGTACGTATAAATAAATTTAGAAGAATGCATGGGAAACGTGAACACATGCAGGAGTAAATTCGCCGCTTTTTGCCTGCGTTCTACGACTACAATCTACAGGGTGTAATAGGTGTATCGATGAAAATGTAGACCCTTGAACCCTTCACCCTTCCAATTCAAATTAGCCACAAACCTGCTGAGTATTGACACTATTGTAGTGATCTGACAGCCCCAATTGCCACGAATTAATAGTGCGTAAAAACACATGGTCTTCTAGACTTCTACACATGCATGGGAATTTAGGATAACTTGTAATCGTAAGTAAGACCTTTATATTTTTGCGCATAGTAATTCGAAGTGATTATAGGCTATAGCTATCAAAAGGGACAACTTTATTTCATACACCCACTATCTGACACTATCTGCAAGTTATTTGTGAACAAACTTGGATTTAATGGAGCCATGGAGGTATGACTTATTATACATACGTTATCGCCCGTATTCTAAAAGCTCACACTCAATGAGACTATGAGTGGAGGTTCAATCTGAGCTTCTCTTGAGTGTCAATGCTGTTTTTGAATATAGCTGGAAGGCTAGTATCATACCTTACTCGGTGACTACTCACCCTCCAGGGGCCGGTTGTTCAAAGGTGGGTTAGCGCTAACCCGCCTGGGTTAAAATTTAACCTGCTGTTTTAGTTTGTGTATTTCTATACGTTTCTTTAATTAAAAACTTCAGAGAAGTAAACTCCTACCGATTCAGCTGACAAGATCTCAGAAGAAATATTTCCAAATTTATAGACAAGCAGTTGGGAAAATTGCTTTGAATTTTAGCTTAACCTAGGGTTAAGCTAACCCAACTTTGAACAACCGGCCCCAGCTATTCAAAAACAGCATTCATTTGACACTCAAGAGAAGCTCAGACTGAACCTCCAATCATTGAGTGTGAGTGAGCTTTTAAAATACGGGCGTAAGTCTAGTACTTCAAATGCAATCACTGACAAACTCCATGAACTTTAGTTGTACCAGGTAAATTAGCGAACATAGGTATTTTATATTAAACGCAGTTAATTAATTCAAACTTTTCGCGTTTGGCTCTTACCTTAAATTTTAGCTTTGTTGGAGGACAACCTTAATGCAATTAGAGCGCTCGTGTATACATCCAAAAGATGGGAAGGGGTGAGTCAACTAAAATACTTAATGTCCATTTTCTCAGTAACAGAGGTAACTACAGTCTAGTTAATGTACAATACATGGTATAACAAAACGTTGTCACTATCATGAACACATTTATCAGGTGAATAGTAGAATAGTCAATACTATGATATAATAATACAACAGTACTATACTTTGAATAATGATCCATTTTACAAAAAAAAATATGCACCCCTTACATTTTGTTCAGCAAGAGAATACACTAGCTGTGGCAATATGTCTCCTTTCACAACAGCTTCAGCCAGATCATCATTATAATTGGCCAGTCTACCCAGAGCTAAAGCTGCTGTTTGTTGAATCGTTGGAACTATGTCCAACAGCAATGGACGCAACAATGACATAACACCTGTGTTGAATAAAAACTGTTACTAAGACAAATGATATCTCAAACACAGGGGTCCAGTGGAGGAAAACTAATCTTCAGTATTAACTCTTATAAATGAGGCTTCAGTGGTGCAATCATCAGAGCAGGCACACACCTTCACCTCTGAGACTGGCACAGACCAATGTGACAAGAGTCTGTCAACACTCTGCTGGAAGTTGAGGGATTTCTCCGGGCTTCAGTTTCCTCCCACAGTTGACAGGTGGGTTAAGATATTAAACATTATTAGATAATAAACATATTTAGAAAAGTAATATTATATCCTAATCTTCCTGCTTTGTTATTTTCACTGTCTAACCAGGCACAGATTTTCTGGGGGTGCGGGGGGTGCACACACCCCAGAAATGATTTGCAACCCCCCCCCCCCAAGAGGCATTTGGCAGCGCCCCCCAAAGTTTTTGCACCCTGCAAATTATATATATTTTGATTTGATAGTTTCATATTTGATTATTCCTACTACTAAATTTGTAAAATTACCAATATTATGGTCTCAGATTTCACCATGCAGGACTAGAAAACAAATTTTGTTGAACTTTTTCCTTGGCCTTTCCGGGCGTTGCCACCAGGCCCCGGCCAAAGCAAGCAGCAGCACCCCCCAGATATTTATCCACCCCCCCCCGAACGAAAATATGAAAATCCATCTCTGTGTCTAACAGTCTACGACCAAATGATATTGGTTGCACTGGGGAGAGTGTTGGATGTTGCTGGAGAAATATATCCATATATCCACATATACTCTCTTCTCCACACATGCTTTTATTTGCTTTGACAGACGTTTTGTCACTGGGTCATACTACAATATTACACAATGCTGTGTGCCGGTAGGGTAATGAATGAACTCAAATGGAGGAACTCAAAATTATAATAACTGCCTCTTTTAATAAATACCCATCTGTTCATGAACATAGTAGCAAACAATCGAATTAAGAAAGTTAGTGCCCACAAATATACTCTTCAGCAAAAAGTTGGCATCAATAAAATTAAATTTCATTTTTGGTACCATTATTGGCAGCAATTTGCAAAGACTGCCGTGTGATTTGTTGGGCTGATTTCAATTTGAAAAATGTGTGGTTATGTCACCTAATAGCCAGTGGCGTAGCCAGCCCGACAATTTAGTCCCACCATGCAAATTCAAAATCATTATTCATTTCTTTAGAAATTGATTGTTTTCGCAGTCAATGAACATGAAAATATTTGCATAGCAGGACTAAATCGTTGGGCTAGCTACGCTATTGCTAACAGCATCACTATAACCAAAAAAATCACTAGTAACGTTCTAAAATCTAAAATCAGACCAACAAATATCAGCCAACTGAAGTACAGTAAAAATAAATTTTATGCAAGTATGGTGTGTATTTGATGTGTGTATATTAATATTCTGCATTTGAATCCTATGTTGACGGCATATGTATTCAGTGTTTACCCAAGGATAGCAGCAGAATTTCCCGCAGAACCTATGGATATACAGCAATACAGCAGAATATGTCATTTGAGTTTTAATAAAAACTGGGCACAATATGTATATTAGAACTGAGTAGTTCTATTCAAAATCTATACACATCAGGTTGGTCAGTATTTCAATGTTTACAAAGAAATGCTGCTTTCACTGTCCACCCTACCTGCATTTTGAAGTGTCTCAATATTTTGTGGACGCGAAGCTAGTTCGGCCACAGTCTGAACAAACGTTGTTCTTGATTTTTGATACTGCTCAAAGACTATAAACATCGAGAAATAAACCCAGTTAATATCGTATTCTGACTCTCTGCTATGTTTTATTGTACAAGTCTTTATCTTACCTTGTAAAACTTGTCTTGTGCTCATATTAATTCTGCTTTTCGTACAAGAAAACGATCAATTTTACTCCAGAACGTTATAGAATGAAAATACTGTGTGGTCTGGTCGTATTTTTGTGTAAATTGTTGCTTAGCAACAATGCAATAAGCTACCAATGCGCGCGCATTCCATAACTTGAACATAGCCGCTGACCAGCAATGAAGGTGCATCTTTTTGTCTCCACAATCAACACATCCTCACTCTAAGAATACCTATTATAGGTATATGTCAAATGTCCCAAGAATATGCATAATAGATAGTTCAAGGCCTTCAATCATCTGTAGTACCCAGAGCCCGTAAGGTTGGTCCGCGTATGTTTTTTGGCGGCAGATTCG